AAGTGCACCGTTTGGCATTCCCCTTGCCAGACAAGAGAGGCATCACGATCTTGAATGCCCTGATCGATGCCTACCTCACCTTGAGGAGTGAAGGCATGTTTGTCAATCAGCTCCACTCCGATTTAGGAGGTGAGTTCACTGGAGCGTACATCGAAAAGTGGTGCAAGGAAAGATGCATCCTCACAACAACAACCCCAGGGGTATCCCCTCAAACCAACGGCCGAGCAGAAAGGGCCGTACAAGCAATGAAGACAGAGACGAAGAAAATCCTGCGTGGCGCGCGGGTGGGTATCGAATGGTGGCCGATTGCTGTTCGATATCTCAATGAAGTATGGAAGAGAAACAGAACAGAGGCCATTGGGGCCATCCCACCGTTCATGTCCAAAGTGCTGATCAGAAGAAGGTATTGGCGCACAAAGGACATGGAACCCAACAACGAAGAGGTTCGCTACCTCGCCCCCTCCTGGCGGAACTATGGGCATTGGGTACTTCGCTCAGACAACACACAAACCTTGACCAGGGCTGTCATCACCAACACCGTGGAGCCAGTCACTGAGGACACGTGGATTGCCTTAGAAGACAATCTGACTCCCTTGGATCTTCGAAGGAGAATTCGAGGAAAAGCCATGATCAGAAAGGTACAAGAGGAGAAAGATGAAGAAAGCAGGCAAGACAGGCTGAAGCGGGAAAAGGTGATACAGGAAGAGGCAGAACATGCCTTCTATGATGATGAAGAGGTTGTTGAGGCCGTACTCAGGGGGGTGAAAGCCATGCAAGAGATGGATCAAGAAGATGAAGGAGAAGTGCTCCAAACGAAAATTGTGGGCACTGCCGAGGTGGTCAAAAAGAAAGACCTTTGGCATCAGGCCATTTCCAATGAGATCACTTCACTCTTCTCAGAAAAGAAAGCGTTGAAGCTTTTGACGAAGGAGGAGAGCGACAAGTATCTCAAAGAAAGAGGAGCGATTCCACTACCTTCCAAGACCGTATTTACGGTGAAGCCAGACCCGGCTGATCGTCGGGGAAAGCGAAAATGCCGCATAGTCGCATGTGGCAACTATGAGACTGTGGGTGGAGATGAAAACTGTTTTGCGGCAGGAGCAGATGCTGCTGCCCTTAGGCTGGCGCTGGCTCTGGCCACAGTTCGCAAATGGTGCGGCATCAATGTGGACATTCGCACCGCCTTTTTGAACGCTCCCTGGAAACATGAAAAGGGGGGTGAAGATTGGTTTTTTGAAGAAGAAGGCGAAGAAGCTCCGCTGCCAATGCTTCTTAGGCCACCACCAATTTTGGTCAAACTTGGCTACTTTCCTCCCTATCAGCTCTGGGAGGTTTTGCGGGCTCTTTATGGCTTCCGGAGGTCTCCGAAACTCTGGAAGGATTACAGAGATGAGGAGATGGAAAAGATGAGAGTTGGAAAGATGAGGCTGCATCAGCTTGAATCAGAGCCGAGCACATGGGCCATCCGCCAAGAAGAGACTGGCGAATTGCAAGGGCTCATGCTCACCTATGTCGATGACATTTTGGTCCTTGCCTCAGAGGAAACTGCAGAAGCTTGGATCAGCTGCATCCAATCCAAGTGGGAAACCTCCGTCCCTGAGAAGGTGGGCTGTCAGCAAACCACCCGGTTTTTGGGTATGGAGTTGTCTCGAGATCAAAATGGAGTGTGGTGCGCCACTCAACACTCCTACACTTTGGATCTCTTGCAGAAGAACATGGGGATGGACAGAGAGAAGTGGGGATTGAAGAAGATTCCCATGTCAAAAGAGGATGGAAGTTTGGATAGTGATGGTGAGGATGATGCAGAAAAGACAGTAGAAAAGGTTCGAGAAGCACAGAGAATTGTAGGTGAGCTGACCTGGCTGGTGACCAGGTGTCGCCCCGACATCATGTATGTCATGTCCATAATTTCCAGATGGACCACCAGACGACCTTCCAAGGTCATTGCTGCAGCGCCTCAAATCTGGAAATACCTTGCGAATTCCATCCAAGAAGGGATTCGTTTTGGAGGAAACGAAGATGGTTGCCTAGACCTCCTGGTCTACACCGACGCGGCCTATGGAAATGAAGGCCACGGATGTTCAGTGGTGATGTGGCTGGGAGCTCCAATTTTGTGGCGAAGCTCGCGCCAACAACTTCAAACCGCATCCACAGCAGAGTCGGAGCTGTTGGAGATTTTGGAAGGAGGAGTTTTGGCCGAGGCAGTCAGAGTAGTGGTAGAAGAAATTTTGGAAAGGGCAGTGCGATGTTGGCAGTACTCGGATTCTGCCTCAGCCATCGCCATAGTTGGAGGCGACAGTGCGTCCTGGAGGACGCGCCACTTGAGAAAGAGGGCTCGCTACATGAGATGGCGGGTGCTGAGTGGAGATGTCATCCTCCGACACACTCCAGGCAACGGCATGATCGCCGACCTGGGCACCAAAGCTTTGGCGGCATTGAAGTTGGAGGAGCTGAAGAAAGCCATGGGCATGACAGATAGAAAGATCAAAACAGAAAAAGAAAAGGAAGATCTCGGTGTGGTGAGAGGGCCTACCGAAGAAAAAGAAGAGAATGGCGTGGTGAGAGAGCCGGCCATAGAGACGAAAGAAGCGAAAGGAGGGATAAAGTCCCCAAAAGATATGGTCAGGATGGCGATGATCATGGCCATGCTCAGCCGAGCGAAGGCCGAAGATGAAGATGGAGATGCAGGAGAGGAATCATCCATCTTCTTTGACATGATGATGGTATATACAATAGTGGTGGTGTTGGTCACGTTGGCCATTCAAAGCGGCTGGCAGCGACGACTGCTCAGGGCTGAGACGGCTGTGGGATCAGATCGATCCCGCGGCGAACTCGCTCAACGGAGTGCCAGGACATCGGGTCTGATGACCGATGGTCCAACCTCCGTCCCGGGTGAGACGGTTCTGGGATTCGGTGGAGGAGACCAATCTCGGGACGAACTCCCCAGGGGAAGCAGTCAGTTGCTCGGGAGTGCCAGGACATCAAGTCTGACGTCACAGACTGGTGGTCCAACCTCCCTGCCGGGTGAGACGGTTCTGGGATTTGGTAGAGGAGACCAATCTCGGGACGAACTCCCCAGGGGAAGCAGTCAGTTGCTCGGGAGTGCCAGGACATCAGGTCTGACGTCACAGACTGGTGGTCCAACCTCCCTGCCGGGTGAGACGGTTCTGGGATTTGGTAGAGGAGACCAATCTCGGGACGAACTCCCCAGGCGAAGCGGCCAACCATCTGGGAGTGCCAGGACGTCGGGTCTAGCGTCACAGACCGATTGTCCAACCTCCCCGCCAGGTGAGACGGTTCTGGGATCTGGTGGAGGAGACCAATCTCGGGACGAACTCCCCAGGCGAAGTGGCCCACCACTAAAAGAAGAAAAGGAAGAAACACCAAAGGCTGTAAAAAGAGCCAAAAGTATGGGCCAATCTTCTGCGTCCAAACAGGACGGACAGAGGAACACCTATGGCCAACCAGCTTCAAAGCTGGAAGCTCCGCTACCAGAAGATCAAACAGCCTCTGCAGGAATCCAAGAACCAGCGATTCCCAAGGCGGCAGCAGAAAAGAAAGAAGTTGCTCCGCCACCAAAAGTTTTGCAATCAAAGTCAAAAGGAAAGAAAGGTGATGAAAAGAAGCCAAATGAAACGACCTCAACAGGGATGACGCAGATCAGAACCAACCATGCTGCAGCCGAGCCAAAAGTTGCAGCTTCCTCATCCACCAGCACTGGTGCTCTGATCCCTGCGGATCCATCTTCCAGTGCTGCCCCATCGATTGACCTGTACTTTACAGGCCTTGGAAAGAAATATCACTTCCGAAAGGATTGCTATGGGTTGAGAAATTCACAGATGGTGCGACACACCGATATCTGTGAGCAGTGTGTTCCTCAACTTCGCGGATGGCATCCTCGAGGGAGAGACATGTATGGAGCTGGATTGAATGGACCCCAGCACACCGATGTGACTCACTGCGAAAAAATGCATGGATATTCCATTGCGTATCAGCCGTGTAATTGGTGTGCGAGGCCAAATGAAAGCGAAAAGTGAAAAAAGGTGCGATGACATGCAAAGTGAAAAAATTTGGAAAAGAAGAGCGGAAAAAGAACATCTGAGAGAGGGCTTGAGCTTTGAATGTAACACTGTCGTGTAGATGGTGTGAGATATATTTTGCTTTTTTCGTGTGACTGTGCCTCTAGCGAAACACAGTCAGGGGGTGTGCGAATTGCATATTCCCTATTTAGCATTCATGTCATGACTTTGCAATTGTCATTTCAATCAATGGGCATTTCACCATAGCCCTTTTTCCAAGCTCAAAGATCGGTCGGAAGACCGGTGAGTCCAACGTGAAGGACTTTGGAAAGAGAGTTAAAAGCGCAGGACCACTTGTCTGACCGTGGAGGACTTTGTGTGTCTACCGCAAGGAGTTTGAGGTGTGGACTAGTACCTGGCTTTTCTGGCCGCAGACGTGTCAGGACTGTCAGTGCTAGTACCCCCGATAATATTACCCGGGTGAACCTGTCGCGAACAGAAACCACCAACCAGATACTTTCCAGACCTTTCTAGTCATATGTTTGGTAAACCTACCCAATGACCCAATGCAGTTGTTTTCTGTTTCATACGTTACTTCTGTTCACTCCTACCTGGGATACTCCATTCGCTAGCCAAAGCCCAGGAAAGAAATCGAAGATGATGGTTCAGTAAAATGAATCATCCAAAACAAGGTGTGTTTCTGGTTCAGGAATTATGGTTTGCCCATCAACTGGTGAACAATCTGTCAGGTCAGATTGCCAAATTGGTCATGTCAGGGATTTGGCAACGTTTAACGAGTAATAATCACGATGAAGGACTAATGTTTAACGATTCATAATCATGATTAATCATAATTAAAGATCAAAGATAGACTAGATATAACTGGTTAGATATCTATAAACTCCTGGATAATCATAATTAATCATCTTTTTGCTGGTTAGATATCTATCCCAGTCCCCTCATTTTGGCTTTTTTTTCCAGGCACGCCAACGAGTGCTTGAGACGGCCCGTGCGCTGCCCACGTTGTGATGAAGATTTAGAAGCTGTGGAGTCTTGGAAATCTTGGAGATCTTGGAGCGAACGGAAGCCAAGGTTAGCTGCTGGCACTTTAACGGTAGTTTACCACTTGAAATGTTGATTGAATGGGATGTTAGAAACCTATATATATATATTGGATATAATGAGATATAATGAGATATAAAATCAACATGATCAAGACTGGATCCATCTATCCACCTAACTTATGGCAGTTTGAATGGAATGATTCTGAATGATAATGGAATATAATGACTATCTGGTTGGTGGTTTGGAACATGAATGGATTATGACTTTCCATATACAGCATTGGGAATGTCATCATCCAAACTGACGAACTCATATTTTTCAGAGGGGTTGGTACACCACCAACCAGTAGAGCCATTGAAATAATTGTTTTACCTATCCAAAATGGCGATTTTCCAGTTCGCAAACTGTTACTGTTAAAATTACCAGAGGTTCGCCAAGGTTAGCATCGCTTAGGCCATGACCTCCATATGATGACTGATGAACGATTCATCATGATCCATGAATCATGGTATTGATCAATAATGATCCATGGATCTTTAATAAAACAAGGGACATTCAATGATGTTTGTACCATCAAATCATCAACACATGGAGATTTGGTGGGATACTCATGGGACTAGTATTGTTATAACATGTTATACTGGTTGGTGGTTTCAAACATTTCTTATTTTCCATAATATATGGATATATATGGGATAACCCTTCCCATTGACTAGTGTTTTTCAGAGGGTAGGTATACCACCAACCAGTATAACTAGCCAACTATCATCAATCCTTTTCCCCCTAATATTAACCCCCTCCCCGTAGAAACCATGGTTTAGGTGTGGGAAATTCCATATCATTGGGACCATGCAATGGGGGTGTTTAATATTGGGGGAGTGGGATTAATCATCTTTGATCTTTAATCATGATTAATCATGATTATTAATCGTTAAACATTAGGCTTTAATCGTGATTATATTAATGATCCATGGACCATGGATCTTTAATAATGAGTCATAATCATGATCCATGGATCATGGTTTTGATCAAAAATGATCCATGGATCTTCAATGATCCATTGAAAAAGATGCTTTCCCAGACCATCTTCACAGCTGCCGTGGGCGGCATTCCCTCAGGAGTTGGAGCAACACTTGGCGAGCTGCCAGGTGAGCGAGCGGGCTGGTTGGCAGCTGGTTTGGTTCAGTGCAACTCCGGGGATGACATGGGATGACATGGGATATGATTTGAACATATTGTGATCAGATACCCATGACGGATCCGTGGTGCTGCTATTTGTTTGGTAACATGGATCCCATCAATATACCCCAAATGTTAGCATATATACCATACATGGATCCTATGGGATATGACAAGCCATAGATAGTAATAAGCCATAGATTAGATGATAGTTAATATACTCAGCTCAACCAGTTTGATAAGATTGGATAAGCCACGGAGGGACTTACGAACTCACCAGCGTGTCACTAACCACTAAGTGAGATGATCCTCCACGTAACCTCCGGTGTCATCAGACATGGGATTCTATAGAGGGATTGTAGCTGGGATGTAACCCAACAATAACTATGATGATACAACATTATCGAAGTAAGTTTAGAAGTCAAACTTCCGACAATATGGACAGATGGAAAAGCAGAGGTGGGAAGAGTCAGAGAAGGGAAGAGCAGAAGAGAGAAGATCAGAGAAGAGAAAAAGTCAGAGGAAAGAAGATGCAGGTGCACGAAAAGGTAGCAAAGTCGCGAAACACTGTGTTTTTCCAATGATTTGTGGCTCCGGAGGGTCGAAAAGTAGGCTCGCTAAAGCAGCGGGTGCGGAGCCATGTGGTCAGATGAGAGATGAAAAATTGCATGCTGTTGTGGCGCGAAGCACATTTAGAAGTCAAAACGTGCAAAGGACCACTTTTGGAAGTTGACATGTCAAAAAAGTGCACGCCGTTGTGGCGCGAAGCACATTTCGAAGTCAAAATGTACAAAGCACACCATGTTTGGCACTTTTGGAAGCTGTGATGTCGAAAAAGTGCACGCCGTTGTGGTGCGAATCAAATTTCGAAGCCAACATGTACAAAACACTACACTACACCCCACGCCACTTCACTCCACTTCACTTCACTACACCACTACACTACACTCAATTGCACTACAGTTCACTACAATTGCAACTACGCTATACACTAATTGTTACACTACACTCCACTACACTACACTCAATTACACTACATTACAACTACAACTGCAACTGCAACTGCAACTACACTACACTAATTACACTACACTACGCTCCACTCCACTCCACTTCACTTCACTACACTGCACTCAATTACACTACACTACAACTACAACTGCAACTGCAACTACACACACTAATTACATTACACTACACTACACCACACCACACCACACCACCACAAATGCAACTGCAACTACACTGCATTAATTACACTACACCACAACTAACTCCACTACACTACAACTACAGCTACAGCTGCACTACACCACACTACATCCAGCAGTTGTGGGTGAGGTGACCGACCAGGTGACCACTGCAACCATTGTAACCATTCCGAAAAACACAACTCCAACCACCTTTCAGTCCATCAGTGAATTCGCTCTGCCATCCGTGATTCACAACAATCAACCTCTCCTATAGGTGTCCTATTTTTGAAACTTCCGCCACCACCTTGTGCCGCACTACTGGTAAAAGCACTTGTGGGATGGAACATGAGCCTCCAACAATCAAACGTGCCAACGAACAATCTCCTACTAATGAGGCTGGTTATGGGAAAATCATCTGCAAAGGAAGTATTTTCAATTGCCACGCTTCAGTACCGGAGGCTAACCAGGATTATCACATTAGCCACTATGTTCATTTCATTTCATTTCAATATGTAAAGGGTCCCAGGCCCCCTTTACATAGGTTGGGAGAACAATAAGTAGGTTAACGAGGAATTATTGCAGATGTATCTATAGTAAGGGGTTATAAACCAACTTATAACTGGGGTACTTAGTCAAGAATTCTCATTTTAGCCCTGTCATATCTGGGACGTGAAAATGGGACTTGGATGTGCGTCCCGTTTGTGGTTGATAAACCACAATTTATTTACCGACGTAGTCCACAGCCATACCCTCTGGTAAACACCCAAACCTTGGAAAATCACCACTTTTACCCTCCAGTAATCAAACATGGCAATGGAAAATGCCCATTTGTAGATACATGTCCCATTAAAATCTCCATTTTGGAATCTCAATTGCTATGTTTCACTACGGGTAATAGGTAAATCAACGAACTAAATGGGTCAACCATCGGGACCATCGTGGACCCCAGGTACTCATGGGATGGACTATTGTTGGGCTTGCCATGGAATATAGTCCATAAGTGGGGTATGAAATAAGTCCATTAATATAGTCCATATAATTCATATAGTTCATATGGGTATGGGTCAAAATTAGGTACCCCAATAATTGGATGGTTAATACTAAACTAGACTAACATCTGTGGTCCCCTAGGTCTTCCATTTTGACCCACATCCATATAAACGATACATGATATTTCCTTACAACTTGGCTATTTGATATATCCCACCCATATTATCTCATAGAATGATGAGAAATTGTCCATATTATTATCTACAAAAACCTGGGTCCCCCACGGTGCGCCTTTGACGCCGTCGCAGGCTAGCTATGCTTTCTGCAAACTCTGTGGTGAGCGATATGTCGCCGATGAAACTTGGGCAGGCAAGAAGTGGACGATCGCCATAGGAGATATATTGGGACAATGAAATGTACATAGACATATTGTTTTAGAAACAATATAAAAACCCTATAAACTGACTGTGACTTTTCAACTGTCACTTTTCTCATCGCCATTGGGATTCTAAAACCATAGGGGATTCTAAAACAATGGACATATTGGCATAATATACCTAATGTGGGATTCTAAACATATTGCGATATATGGGATATCACGAAAAGTAGCTCCTATTCAAGGGCTACCTTGAATGTACTGTGCTCTATGCGACCACATACCTGAGGTACTTCCCTCTCTAAAGGGCTGTTTGAATCGATTTCCGTTTGCGGTCTAAGATTCTTAGCCTTTTATTTGGTATTCCCCACACTACTTGGGGGCGCATGGTTATACGCACTAGAATTTGGGATATAATCACTGTAACTTTGGCGGCAAATATCCACTGAGCTGGAACTGCAACCCCAAATAGCCAATTTCTTAACGAGGATATTAGTTTTTCGTGAATCTTGGTGCTTTCTTGATCCACTGCTGTTGGGTTTACGCAAGTCTCTACAACATGGTGCTCGTTATAAGTTGGCTGCGCCCTTTAAGTGTAGAAGCGAACTGAACCGAAATAAACCGACTTAGCGACTCCGAACTTGGGCATCAACCATCATGTATCAACTACATCCGATTATTCTGAAAAACATATATCACAAAATCAGAATAATCAATGGTGATCAATGGAAAACTATATTTATTTCCATTTGATATCAATGGTGATAACATATTTAGTGCCACCAGTGTGATTTGTTTGATAGTTTTCTGTTAAAACTGCTATGGTAAAGATATGATGGGCAGCGACAGTACATCCACTGGTAATTTGTTGCAGTTTGCGAACTTGAACATGGCACATGCAGTTCGTTGATTTACCTATTAAAGATGGTGATTTTCCATAGCAATGTTAGTTTACCGCCATGATATATATATATATTTATATATATGTATATATATATATATATCAAAATATCCATTTAAAGAGGGTACATCCACTGAAACCAAAACCGCCGAGGAATTGGAGGAGCACCTTGCCTCGAACGTGCCTCGCAGATCGAGTTGCTGCAATGAGTTGAAAACATCCCGGTGCAGAGGTGACTATGTCAATGGATTGGTTTAAGGGAAAATTTTAACCGGAAACCATCGATTTTCCCAGTAAATATGGGGTTTTCTGGTTTCAATTTTCCCTTGAACCAATCCATTGACTCTGGTAATAACCGGCTTAAAAAACCATTTAAGGGAGGAAATCTCACCAGTTAATGTGAAACGGGAATATGACTAGGATATATACCCTCTGGTGAACTAACATAGCAATTGAAAATGGCCATTTATAGTGGAATTTCCCATTAAAAATGATGATTTTCCATTGCTATGTTAGTTCACCAGAGGGTAAACAACAAGATCAGGAGTGCGGGCCTAGGGAGAAAGTTGTTTATCCTCAGATGGGATATGGGGTTTTCCATAGTCATGGGGGATCCCCAAGCGAGCTTAGGATGGTTAATTTTCCATGGGAAAATCCCAAACAAAAATGGATACAATCCACTTATTACTAAGTCAATCGACTGGATGGGTAGAAACTAATCCCAACTTGTCTTGTGGTATCAATTGGATTATCTACTTACTAACCAGCTAAGAATTTGTCATTTTTTGTAGGGTATCTGGCTGATTGGCCATGATAATATGGACACCTATAGTAAATATAATTAGGATTATACTATCATATACTATCATATACTATCATATACTATCATTTCCTATCATATACTATCATATGCTATCATATACTTACTACCATATACTATCATATACTATCCAGATCCATGTTTATATCACTAATTATACCTAGGTTATACCATCATATATATAATATACTATACTATCAGTTTATATCTAGGTTACTGGCTGATTGGCACTAGTGGAACTGCATCATCCGAGGCAGAGTGGCCTCAGAAATCACACGCAATCAGAAATCAGAGTTGGAGAGTTGCGAATTGAGAAAGGCTATGTTGAGGGATTTATGAAAACATCTACCATCATCTACCATTCTACCATGGGAACCCATGGGAAACCAGGTTATGAATGGTTATGATCCAGGTTATGGTGGTTTTCTGTTTTCCCAATATGCTTTATCATCTTTGCAAAACTATGTCCAGTTGCCATCGACTTTTCATATTTTTTCCATGATCTGATCATTCCAAGAATCTCTCAATCCGTTCCTGATTCCCAAAGCTTGCCCAGCAACCGGAAAAACTCATCATAACTAGCTTAACGAGGCCCATGGTGTAACCGTAGTATAGATGGGGCTATAAATCAACCCATAGCTAGAGAGCATCACAATGTAAATGTTCGATTTATACTACCACTCTATGATGATAAACCATCAGATGTTTGGGGTATCTTTTTTTCAGATAGACCGACTTATTTTCCACTTATCCCCATTATTGATTGGGCACGCTGCCAAAGTTTGCTGGGCAGTACCCTGTGGCATTGTTTTTTCTGAACAATACACAGTAATATACAGTCAGAATCATATCTTTGACGACGTTTGTTCACCCAGCATTTAGTTCGGGGGCTATGCACCAAACATTTCTTCGATTATACTAGAGTTCCCATCATTATGTATATATATATATATTCCATATACATACATACATACATACATACATACATACACATATATATATATTGGATATAATATGTATATTTATATATATCCCCATTACAGTGCACATGTTTGTTGGTAAAACCACTTCGTACAGAGTCGGGATGGTCTTTCCTCAAAATCAGGTCGGCAAACACATGAAGGCCATGATGGGCGCTCTTCAGGCAGCCCGGCGAAGTGTTTGCTGAAAAAACGGGGACCCTGGAAGTTTGACTTCTAAACTTCCTTCGATTATGACATAGTATGACATTTATGAAGTATTATGACATAGTATGACTACTGGTTGGTGGTTTGGAACATGAATTTTATGACTTTCCCATCATATTGGGAATTTCATCATCCCAACTGACGAACTCATATTTTTCCGAGGGGTAGGTATACCACCAACCAGTCTTAGATTCCGGGGTTTCGTTCTATCTCTGGACTCATCAATAGTTATGATATGATTTAATCGCCATAAACCATGCAAAAGTTGGTCTTATAAACTATCCAAGACGTATCTAATTTTAGTACTACTCAATTTTAACATACTGTGGATGGTTGCGAAATCCTGCACCAGTTGGTGACTATTGGAATTCCTATGAACACTGTAAATAATGGGATCATAGTGGGACAAACCATCTACCAACTGGTGCAGGATTTCTTCCTTCCACAGTAGCTGGTTGGAAAATCCCCTATAAATATGTTTATGGTGGGAACATGAACTATACATGGTGGATTTTCCACTGCCATGGACTTGTTGAAGGTGATTGTCTATTTTCAGTATGGAACATCCATTACTTGAGTTGGACCTGAAGCAAATCGAAGATCTTAGATTTTCTGAAGGTGCATTGACTGTGGGGCCCTGGGGGTACACCATTTGCAATGCCCAGATCATGAGATACTTTCAGCCACTCTTCTCCACCCCGCGCAGCCACATTCAATTCAAATGTGGAACTTTGGAGTGTACGTGATGTTTTTTGAATTATCCCCAGATCGATTTGTTTGTGAAGATCCAGAACTATTTTGGATGGGAGCACTCAAGGGCCAGGGACCACAGCACCCTAATCTGCATCAAGTTCATGAATTACTCTATAGCAGCCCGGAAATAGATAGAACAGTTGGAAACCTGAAAATTGTGGAAAAAACATCAGTTTTGTCTACAGTTTTATATTTTAAAAACATGGAAACCCTCTTTTGGGGATCTCTACAACCACATCTTTTGTTTATGTTGACCCGAATAGATTCGGGAAGCTCCTTACAATAGATTTTTTTGTATGGACATCGCCGACGATATGTCAAGGGATTTTTGGGCACCCATCAATTAACATCTGAAAACATCCATCACTTAACATAATGGGTGCCTTAGTACATACATTATCATACATTTTTGGGTGCCTTAGTAACATTTGGGTGCCATCACCCATCAATTAACATGAATTTTGGACACCAAAAACATCGTCACCCATAAATCATGGCTATTTTCCGGGATTTACCCCCTTGTAATGACTAACACTTCGCCATGGAAAGATCCACCGTGCTATAAATAGGTAAACCATCTATTTCTATGGGCCATGGCTTAACCACGGCTATGTTACTCATAACCAGAGGGTATAGATTATAGATATCTATAGATTATTTACATCAAGATTCTATTTTCCACATTTTTCAAGATTGTTGAAACCACCAACCAGAATTGCTTCATCCAAGCATGATTTCTGGTGCAATCCCCAGTTCTCTACCATGATTCAACCCCTGATCCCTCCATGTTTTTTGGTACCTTGAGAATTGGATGCTTCGGATCCTTAAGACCATGGCTTGGAAGGGCAGTTGGGGTAATTAATGGATATATCTACAGAATAAAGCCAACTTATAACTGGTGGGCACCAATCCTGTATGGTAATAATCCCCATAAGAACAGGATATAACCCCTGCAACTGTGGTTGTATATCCACTTGTAACTGCAACTGCACCCCCAAGTGCACTAGGACTGGGTTTTCCGATATTCCGGTATTCCCATGTTTCGTTACGGTAGTGATCTCCCGTACCGTACGTGCTTAAGATTCGCCGAGCTACGAATCTCGCGGTCATTCACTTCTGGAAAAAAAACAGTGTTTTTTTTTGGTCGCCTCGTACCAAATAGATCAACGATCAACCATCTATCATCATTTACTACCGTAACACATGAAACATGGGTATCTGAATATATATATATATATCCATATATATATATATCTATTTATTTATATATATTCACATGTGTATATATATATAAATGTTGAAAATTACATGTATATATCCAAAATAAATCTGTTACCCTCTGGTAAACGTTTACATAGCTATTGAAAATTGCCATAGAAATAGTTGATGACTACAGTACCTATTAAAGATGTTGATTTCCCATACTTGTGTTAGTTTACCAGATTTTGTCAATGGGAATTTCAGGATCCTAAATGGAGGTACCTACCATATATGTTTGGCCTATTTTTCAGGCCTATGTTTCACTGAATATCACCACAATTCATATGGCCAACAATATGGTACTATCATATGTACTAACGTACCTCCATTTTAGGATCCTGGAATTCCCATTGATCTATCATCATTTACCTGTTAAAGGGGTAAACCTGAAGATGTCATATATCATCTCTATTAATCAACCATATATTTCTGATGTCTATTGAGAATGTAATACATGATATATATATATATATATACATATAAATATATGATGTTATATTGATTATCTTTTCTGTTCAGAATCCCCTCTTTTTTCATCAACCATTGGGAATGCCGGACGTCTATGTCAACCCAAAACGCGATTTGCTTTTGGGGGAACTGTGGAACTGTCAGAAAACTGATGGTTTCCGAAGTCCCCATCAAAAGCCATCAAAGCCATGTTGGATCTGGATATGAAGTATGTATCATTAGATCGGTTTACGGGAAAAATTTATCCGGAAACCCCCATATCTAATGGTAAAAACCATGGTTTCCTGTAGATTTCCTTTAAACCAGTCCAATGAATGTAGCCTCTGGATTGTCCTCTGCATGGGTGGTGCGTGGTGCTATATCCCCATTGGCTGGCTGTTGTTGGCTAAGCCCTTTCTTGTGCCGATTTTTGAGCGAGCCCCGGTAATCCCACAGTATCTACCCTCTGGTAATTTAACAGTTTGCGAACTTGAAAATAGCCATAGAAATAGTTGATTTACCGTAATTTACCTATGAAAAATTGTGATTTTCCATCGTTTTTTGTATGTTTACCAGAGGGTAATGAATGATTACTCACCCCTTCAGCCAAGTTTACCGTTTTTTGCCAAGTTCTTTGATGTTTGATGCTTCAGCCCCATGTTGCCCATGTTCAGCATAGCTTACTGGTGCTAAACGGTAGCTCAACGGTGAATGGGGAATGATTCGGAATGATCTGTAAACATACCATATAGAAACTGTAAACATAAGGAAAGGGGAATGATCCAATCCATAACATATACATATATATATATATAGAAACTGTGAAGCATTAGCTCATTTCCATCCATTCCCTATGTTTTTGTTGCACCATAAAGCCGCGCCTTGGCGCCTTGCCTTTGGCTCAGGAATTGGATGTCCTTCGCGCGGAAGTGGCCCAGCTCAAAGCTGTTGATAAGGTCCAAAAAGCTCGTGAAGGTCGGATGCATTGGATCCGTTGGCCCTGTGGATTCTGTGGAGGGCAGTGATTTTTCTCAATTTTTCACATGATTCATTGGATTGGTTTACGGGAAAATTTACAGGAACCCCCCATATTTAATGGTAAAAACCATGGTTTCCTGTAGATTTTCCCTTAAACCAATCCAATGAATGATCTAACCATGATAAAACTCAGCAAATGAATATCTGGGTTTTACCATTGGTTTTACACGGCTTTTCTAGATGCTACAGAGCATTGAAACATGGGGATGTAATGCATCTAATTATCGATTAACCATTTACAATCAATCAACCATGTACAACATTAATTGTGGTTGATTGATGTTGATGGATTGTTGTACAGGGTATTAAGCTCCCTGGTTTATTGATGTTTTTTTCAAGGGGAGTGTGAGTGGACCCATGGACTGAGAATCGCGGCAAAAACACACCAGCTCACATGAGCCATTAAAAAAGACTGGTTGATTGGTCAATGTAGAGACTTACCCTCTGGTAAACATACAAAGCTATGGAAAATCCTCATTTTCTATGGGTAAATCAATTTGAAATGGACCATTTTTAATGCTATGTTCAATTACCACAGGGTATAGTACCTAGTTTATTGTGGATTATGATAAGCTATAGTAAGGACATCTATCAACCAACTAGTAGAATGAGATGGGATAGGGGTATTTTGAATGGCTCACATGTGCAGCCCTGCGTGCCATTCACCAGTCAGTAAATAATTGTGTTTCACACAAAATACATATCATGTATTATGTTTTAAATCATCATCATCATCATCACTGTGTATATTGTTGGTGAAGTCTTGGATAGTTGTGATGATAGTTACTATGGCTATTATGATGATAAAAGTGTGTATATTAAATGGATAGGTATAGTAATTGCTATATGATATATATATATTAACCATTTTGGCTTACCGCATAGGAGATGGGTTTGTCTAATGGGCTAGCACCAAGCCCAAGGGTTTTCCATAGTCATGGTGGCACCCCAATAGCTGGATGGTTTATAATGAACAATACCATGAAAATGGATGATGTGGGGGTACCCCTATTTCAGGAAACCCCCATATTTATAAAGAAAACATAACCGTAGTCAAATGCAGCAGACAGATGACCGCATCCAGTCGAACACGTTCATGTTGGTTCCACCGCTGTGCACGTTGCTTTCTGGATGGGGCTTGAAGCTTTTTGTATTTGACATGTCTTGGAGTTAAGAAGTGATGCATACAAGGTGGTGCCCCCGTTCGATAGCTAAATTGGTGCAAATAACTCCAATAACTATGGTTTATAGGTGACAAATATATAGTGAATGGGGATTTTTTAACCAATTTAACTGGGGGGCACCACCTTGTATCGATTTCATACACTCTAGACGAAGTGGCATTTTGTACGCAGACGCCCTGTGCAGAAGAATTTGTGCTTTTAAAGATCGTGCGCATTTCCTTGCGGGGTAAATGACACCCCGTATCCTTTTTCCACAAGCCTCTATATCATGCGAAATGTATCGACATGTAAATGGGACACGGTGTTGACAAGGATCATGAAGGCGGTTCTCACTCTACAAAAAAACATGGGATATAGGGATGTCAAGAGTCGTTAGAGGAGTTAGATCCATGTCTAATTTACTGGTAATGCTAATTATGTTGCGAGTAGGTTCCAGAGGCATCCCTTTTCATATCGATTCATATCCATTTTCAAAATTTTAAGTTAGGCCCTCTCATGTTGTGGTCGAACCCATGTAGGCCCCAGGTTTTTTGTACTAAGCACTGGGCTCCAACACCCTTTTTCATTTCAATCAGGACCAATAGGATCCCATCAAGAACCCTATCCAATTTCCATTCAACCATTAAACACTATTCAAAACCCGAAGTATTTTAACCCCATCAAAACCTCATAATGTGGTAAACCCAACAAGAAAAACCATCCCCCCAGTCAAACTACTGCGGATGGTTGCGAAATCCTGCGCCACCAAAAGGATGGTTGAAACCCTATAAATCAACTCGTGCAGGATTTCTTCCATCCACAGTAGGTCTATGGTATTGGGGTTTACCACATTATGATGGATTGACCATGTTTGACCAAATTTGGGGAAATCCATCAGAGTCTTTTCCATTTGCCAAAGCTGTTGGAAAATCTCGGGATATAGTTTAACACATTCCTAAAACCATATAAAGCACATTAATAAAGCACATCAAAATCTCATAAATGAGAATATATATAAATATATATACATATAATATCTTATATAACAAATAACCTCGTAAATCTGGGTCAATTGAATAAATCACAAGCCTGAAAGGCCATTTGGGGATGATTCCCCTTTTTTTAACTGATTCCAGTGAGGTCACAGTGAGGACACAACATAATTTACCCAGAGACATGATCGAAGGAAGTTTAGAAGTGAAACTTCCGACAATATGGACAGTTGAAAAGCAGAGGTGAAAAGAGTCAGAAGAGAAAAGATCAGAAGAAAGAAGAGGTAGATGCGCGAAAAGATAGGAAAGTCGCGATTCACTGTTTTTCCAATGATTTGTGGCTCCGGAGGGTCGAAAAGTAGGCTCGCTAAAGCGGCGGGTGCGGAGCCAGCTGGCCAGATGAGACATGAAAAAGTGCACGCCGTTGTGGCGCGAAGCACATTTCCAAGTCAAAACGTACAAAACACCTCAGTGTCGGACCACTTTTGGAAGTTGCGATGTCGAAAAAGTGCACGCCGTTGTGGCGCGAAGCACATTTTGAAGTCAAAATGTACAAAACACACCAATGTCGGACCACTTTTGGAAGTTCCGATGTCGAAAAAGTGCACGCCGTTGTGGCGCGAAGCACATTTGGAAGTCAAAATGTACAAAACACACCAATGTCGGACCACTTTTGGAAGTTCCGATGTCGAAAAAGTGCACGCCGTTGTGGCGCGAAGCACATTTTGAAGTCAAAATGTACAAACACACCAATGTCGGACCACTTTTGGAAGTTCCGATGTCGAAAAAGTGCACGCCGTTGTGGCGCGAAGCACATTTCCAAGTCAAAAGTGTTAAAAACTGACGGTCTCGGACCACTTTTGGAGGTTCAGAAAAAGTGTCGAAAAAGTGCACGCCGTTGTGGCGCGAAGCACATTTCGAAGTCAAAAGTGTAAAAAACTGAGGGTTTTGAGCCTTTTTTGACGTGAAGATGTCGAAAAAGTAGACACTGATTAACTTAACTAACTTGACTAACTTAACTAACTTCACTAACTTAACTACCCTAACTTCGACGACAACAGCAACAACAACAACAACAACAACACCAATCACAACAACTACAACTACAACTACAAATACTACAACAACTACAACTACAACTACAACTACAACAACTACACAACAACTACAACTACAACTAGAACTACAACTACAACAACTACAACAACAACAGCAACAACAACAGCAACAACAACAACAACAACTACAACAACTACAACAACAACTACTACTACAACTACACTACACAACAACTACAACCACACAACAACTACAGCTACAACTACAACAACAACTACTACTACAACAACTACAACTACAACTACAACTACAAAACAACTACAGCTACAACTATATGACTGCAACTACACTACACTAATTACATTACACCGCAACTACAACTCCACTACGCTACAACTACAACTACAGTTGCAGTACATCACACTACATCCAGCAGTTGTGGGTGAGGTGACCACTGCAACCATTGCAACCACTCCAGCAAACACAACTCCAACCACCTGTCGGTCAATCAGTGGCTTCGCTCTGCCATCCCTGATTCACAACAACCAACGTCTCCTATAGGTTTCCTATTTTTGAAACTTCCGCCACCGCCTTGTGCGGTACTACAGGTATAACAAAAACATACAAATATGGACCTTTGTTGAATCCCTATTACTCCCTATTACCATCTGGTTATTTAACATAGCCATGGAAAATCCCTTATAAATGGAGGGTTTAATCGGAAAATCATCTATAAATGGGCCATCTATACCATGGCTATGTTAAATAACTGGAGGGTAATCACCATTGAACCCCGAAGAACACCCCCATGTGCCAGGTCGCGGAGGCGGCATCCTGGCTCCGCCCGAGGGAGGCTCTAAAGCCTCGAAGGCCGCGGGGACGTTGTGGCACCCGGGCCGAATCTGTCCCAAGCCCAACGGTATCAAGCGCGAGAACTCCGAGGACGGCTGGGTTGGAAAACGGATTGTGTTGGAAAACGGCATAGAAATGGGGAAGCTCCGAGCAACAGGCTGAAATTGTCCCGAAGTCCCAGGTTCCGGTTTGGGGATTTGGATTGTTTTTATTTTGGATATGAGAAAACCATCTGTTGCAATACTTGTAAAATTGACATTTCAAACTAGAAATGAGCAGTTGTGGAGGACTGGAATGAAGAAAAAACGTGGACATTGATGGAATTATGAATTTCCACCCAGAAGTGGCTTAAGCGGCTCTGGGATCAACCCACTTCAAACGACATTTTAATGTGTGTTTGCCAATTTTCCATGTGGCACTTTGAGGGTCCAGGTAGAAAGAGAATAGCACAGTCCCGCACCCCCAAGGGCCGTAACCCGCGCAACGAGAGGAGTCGATCAATTGGGAAGATGGCTATGGTTTTGATGAGTATTCTGTGGGATGGCGCTCGGGACTCTTGGTTTTCAAACTGTCAAATTGTCATTGGCCATTTCAGGTACCTACATACCTACCATAGAAAGACCTCGACCCTCCACTGCCGAGGAAAAAATAGTCGTTCTAAGAAGATAGGTCAAACAAACCAAACAATGATTCACTTTGCTCCAAACATGTATGTTTCTAGGAAAATCTCAGCACTACGCTCACGTACACAAAACGTGAGGAATTTTGGAACCCTAAAAAAAGAAGAAAACTGCCTAAAACAACGAGATTTCCGGATTTGCGGGTTTTTGTGTGTGTGTTTTTGCGTTTTTTTTTTTTTTTCGGGGTTTTGCGGGTTTGTTCCTTGATCGTTTGAGGCGCTGCAAACATTTTTTAGTTTTTGTTTCACCAAGCCCAAAAACATGCAATCAAAGTCATAAAATCGAAGACCAAAGTAGTATCTAGGTGTTTTGGGTAAACTCAGTCGATATACTTCGCACTCCGAAAACGCCGGTATTTTCCTAGGATTTGGAGGGTCGAGGTATATATATGTGTATATATATACATATATAAGGCCTGTTTTTGACGGCTATGTAAGGGAACATGCCCACAACATATGGCAAACATATGGCACAGTACCGTCATGTTAGGGTCTTGAAATTTCCAATGAAAGCTGGGAATTTAATCTATACCTAGGTTAGAAGGGAATTGTTAGGAGCTATGGACATCTCCAGATTCCGAGGGGGAGCCGAGCATGTGATAGTGATAGGAATTCTGGGCCACCCCCAGTCTGGGTCAGCCAAGTGGCTACTGGAGGTACTTCATAATGCAAGTTCATCTCTTGATAAAATTTGATATTCATGGGTTTGTCTGCAAATCCTGCAAAATCCTATTTTTATAGCAATCTATGATCATTTATTCATTGCGGCGCGGGTGCAAAAAAATCCACTGTTGAATCGGGCTTGTTCGATGAATTTTGGATGGAAGCCCAAGGTAGATTCAAATTCCATTAAATTCCATTATAAACCATTAAATTCCATCAAAAAAATACACCATTAAATTTTATTAAATTCAAATAAAGTCCATTAAATCCCATTAAATTCCATTAAATTCCATTAAATTCAAATAAATTCCATTAAATCCCATTAAATTCCATTAAATTCCATTATAAAATTCCATTAAATTCAATTTAAAAAATCACCATTAAATTCCATTAAATTCCATTAAATCCCATTAAATCACATTAAATTCCATTAAATTCAAATAAATTTCATTAAATCCCATTAAATTCCATTAAATCCCATTAAATTCCATTAAATTCCATTAAATTCCATTCAATTCCATTCAATTCCATTAAATTCCATTAAATCCCATTAAATTCCATTAAATCCCATTAAATTCCATTAAATCCCATTAAATTCCGATTAAATTCCATTAAATTCAAATAAATTTCATTAAATTCCATTAAATTCAAATAAATTTCATTAAATTCCATTAAATTCCATTAAATCCCATTAAATGCCGATTAAATCCCATTAAATTCCATTAAATCCCATTAAATTCCATTAAATTCCATTAAATCCCATTAAATTCCAATTAAATTCCATTAAATTCCATTAAATTCCATCAAATTCCATTAAATCCCATTAAACCCCATTAAATCCCATTAAATGCCATTGAATTCCATCAAATTCCATTAAATTCCATTATAAAAGTCCGTTAAATTCCATTAACAAAAATCCACCATTAAATTCCATTAAATTCCATTAAACTCTATCCATATCTAAGGAGACCTCACAGCCACGTTTCCCAAGACCGCTTCGGGCCGTGAGTTTGGCCCGTCCTTCTGGTCCTGCTGCGGCGGCTTACACGACGCCGTGGGCTGCCAACGGCGCCACGTCGAGCCACGGAACTAGGCGCCACATGGCGCCACGCCGAGGAACGCAAGCCGAAGCCGTCGCTGGCTATGGGAACAGTCATATCTTATACAATATAATAAGGTTAATGAGATATGATGGCATATCTTGCGGTATATAATTTGGTAGCAATGTACTATATTGAATGCATTGCTTTCATTGGGAAAAACACAGGGGTGAAGCCCTTGATTTTGACCCATGAAGATGGCCAAGATGGCCGGGAAGGGTTCCTCATGATCCATCTAAAGTAGTCAGATTAGCTGTTATAAACAACCCGTTAATGGTTAATGATGGTTAATAAATGGTTAATAAATTGTTAATTCCCCAGTAATGATGGTTAATAGTGGTTAATGATGGTTAATGATGGATACTGATAGTTAATGATGGTTGATGTGGGTAAAACAATGCCATATAAACCACCCATGACTGGGAATGGTAACCATACAACCTATAAAAATGGTGATGACTGGGGGGGATGGTTGATTTTAGTTTCATCCTCTTGTTATTTAACATAGCCATGGAACATCACCATAGCCATGGAGGGTAAGTCGATATATATATATATATACATATATATATATATGCTGGTTGGTGGTTTCAAACATTTTTTTAATTTTCCATAATATATGGGAATAATACTCCCAGTTGATTAATATTTTTCAGAGGGGTTGAAACCACCAATCAGACTAGTTTTAGTATTATTTTATAGAGTAGGATTTACCTTATGCAACACTATTTTTAGTAGGAATTACCTTATGTAACAATTGTAACACTATCTTTAGTAGGATTTACCTTTTCTATCTTGTTGGGGGGGGGGAAATTGCTATAGTCTCTGGTGTAATTTAATGGTCATTAAAATTCATGACAAACCTATTCTTTGGATGACCTAACATTTCACTGGCTGGTGGTTTGGAACATGAATTTTATGAATTTCCATATATTGGTGTCATCATCCCAACTGACAAACTCATATTTTTCAGATGGGTAGGTATATCACCAATTAGTTTCAGGTCTGTGATTTTTGGAAATTCATAACTAGTGCAACATAGACTCCGAGAATTGCCCATGTTGAGAGGAAAGGAGTCTTCTAACCACTTCTTTGGGGGGATGGCAAACCTAAACAAATTTGGCAATGGTAAACCTGTTCTCTAATGAAGATTTAACCACCAGAAATCTGGATTTAATCTTGGTAAAATAGTGAATCCCAGCTAAACCAATTCTAGAAACATTGGTAAAACATTGTTTATGATTGTTTCCAAATTATCTAAGTTTCCTGGAAAAACCTTGCTTGGGTTGAAACATACTTGCATATGCCTACGGACCGAAAACTGAGGTCGCGAAACGCTTCTTTTTCGTTGCTGAGGTTCTTGATGCTACGCTGATGATGGGGTGGGGTGGGGTGGGGCATGTTAACTTCGTGTGAACTTGGAGGTTCTTGATGCTACGCTGATGGGGGTGGTGGGGTGGGGCATGTTAACGTTCGTGTGAACTTGCTGAGGTTCTTGATGCTACGCTGATGATGGGGTGGGGTGGGGTGGGGTGGGGTGGGGCATGTTAACGTTCGTGTGAACTTGCTGAGGTTCTTGATGCTACGCTGATGATGGGGTGGGGTGGGGTGGGGTGGGGCATGTTAACGTTCGTGTGAACTTGCTGAGGTTCTTGATGCTACGCTGATGACATGAAACTTGCTGAGGTTCTTGATGCTACGCTGATGATGGGTGGGTTGGGGTGGGGTGATGCTACAATAGATGCTCCAAACAGCAAGAGATGTAAAAATGACGGTGCGGACAGCTGAGCATGCCTGAACTTGTTTGAAGCAGAAATTGCGTTTCGCCTAGGCAAAATACACATTTATCTAAAAAACGACCAAATTCAGACGTCTGAATTTCAGAGTTTTTGTGATCGCTGAATTGTGTTTTCGCCTAGGCGAAACTATGATTTTTTGAAAAAAAAAACAGTATTTCACGACCTCACTTTCCGGTCCGCCGGGTTGAATATGTTGCTATTTTGATCTGATACCCCAGGGCCCCAGGAGTGGCATGTTGATGGCCCTTCACTGGCATATGCCCTGAACTGTGGGATGCAAATTAGCTGGTTGGTGGTTTCAAGTATTTTCAAGTATACGTGTTTATGATCACGGACATGTTCACTGATGATCAAGTGGCACATATTTTTCAGGGTTGAAAGCACAAACCAAATCGCCAGTTCAATGACCAAAATTTAGCCATGATATCCAACATGAGAATGCAAAGTTCCAATGAAATCCTCATATAAATTTTCAAACACCAGGTATTTCGCGCATGAAATTCCCATGTCAGTTTGATCAATTTCCTTGGCGACAACCTGTGCGTACAGTTTGACAGTCGAAGATTTTGAAGAGGATCTCCCCCGGTGACTGAAATGGTGCCTTGATTTTTAATGGAAGGCCTTGCGCAGAGATAGGTTGATGGCAGGCCATGTCAGCTGCTGAATCAAACGCCAGGGACATTGCAGAGAATACTTCAGAAATGCTTACAGGATGGTACCCCCCAGTTATAAATGGGTTTATAAACCCCATTAACTATAGTTATATCTGCCATAAACCATAGTTATGGGACTTATAAACCAATTTAGCTAACTATGGGGCACCACCTTGTACCATCCCTCTAATTAACATAGGCCTTGCCGAACCAGGGGGTTGGAAGATTAGAGTCTATGTAAATTCACTGGAGGGTAAGTCGATTAATATATATGTATATATATATATATATGCTGGTTGGTGGTTTGGAACATTTTTTATTTGTCCATATATTGGGAATAATGATCCCAACTGACTAATATTTTTCAGAGGGGTTGAAACCACCAATCAGATACATATTCGTGACAATCTTGGCAGAAAAGCCAGGAAACGCCTGAAAAGGATCGAGATGAAACACCAAAGAAATCGACAGCAAAAGCATCACGTTTGAGAACCGCAAGTTGCAATTCACCCTCTGGGAATCAAAGGCACTTAAATAAACGACTTTCGGCTTGTAGATGATTACACATGGGATATGTGCTTTGGAATTTTGGAATTTCGGAATGAATGAGGGCTTAAAAACACCGTTTCAGGTGAGTTTTTTTTGGAAGACAGGTCCTCACTGGAAAACTCCAAGTCTGAATGCTCAAGGAGCATTGCAGCACACCCACAATGTGGGGCCCCCCAGTGATGTTTGTTGGTTTAGATTCGCCCCATGAATGCTATAGTTATACTTACCATAGACCGTAGTTATTGGAGTTATTTGCACCAACTTAGCTATCGAACGGGGGCCCCACATTGCACATTCGCAAGGGCGAGTGACTTTTTTGGGGCCGTCACCTGCCGGGCAAATCCCATGGAGAACGAGACCCCGAGACCCCTGGGCAAAAAAGAAGACGCAGCCCAGAGATTTTACATTTTGAGCCCCGAAAAAAACTTGGACCCTTATTTTAACATATTTTAATTATTTTCTTATATTAGTCTTATATGTTATTTTTACTTCAACCATATGTTTTTGGGTATGTTCTAATATATGTTTTATATTGTTTTATTATGTACTTCTTATATGTTCTTATCTTCAACTGACCATATTATGCTCTAATATTTTCCCATGCTCGTTGTTCAACGATTTACTTCAAGCCCTGGCTGTCTTTGGGTTTCGTGTTTTTTCTGAAACGGGATGTTTTCTGGCTGAAGAAATTCATGACTTTGTCGTCGACGTCACGCCAAGGATCATAGGAGGAATTGATGGGGGGAATCATCATAAATCCCAACATTACATTGACCAAATACCCTCTAAAAAAAAACGTTTACAGTTTGCGAACTGGAACACCACCATTGTTCATGGGTAAATCAACGAACTTTTGACTGGGCCATGGCCATTTTATTCAGCCAGAGGTGGGGCCACCCCCCCGACGTAGTTCGCGCATGGCCTGGTATGAAGCCAGGGCATGGACGGTCACGTGTTGGACGACGTTGTCGGCGTCAAAAAGATTTTGCTTCGCTTGGCTTCGATTGGAGCGATAGGATTAGATATTTTTCTGAAGAATAAATCACGAAATATGTCAACCCCGAATTTATAGACCATGGTTTATTAATTAGGGTGGTATTCCCCCAATAGTCATGATTCGATACTTAAATGGTACCTTCGCAATTAAACAGCCGTTTGGAGTTTGGGGTTCATTTTACCAGGGTTGATATTAATTCTTAAGCAAGTTTGATATAGTAATAGCAATATACCAGTAGTACCCGCACGAGGCGGGGCGGAAGTTGCCTTAAAGATATATATAAGACCTTTCTCATCTATAGAACTTGCATGCGCCGTGCGCCAGCGAAGCCCGTGCGTGCGTGCACTCTGCGAAACTGGTGTCTTGTTTCTCATGTCACATTTGAAGCTCCACGTCACACTTCACACCTGACAGTCTTCACACTCCACACTACACACTGCACTCTTCACACTGCACTCTGCGCACTGCACACTCCACACTTCACACTCCACACTCCACACTTCACACTCCACACTTCACACTGCACGCTTCCCACTGCACACTCCACACTTCACACTTCGCACTCCACACTTCACACTTCACAGTCCACACTTCACACTTCGCACTCCACACTTCACACTTCACAGTCCACACTTCACACTTCGCACTCCACACTTCACACTTCACAGTCCACACTTCACACTTCACAGTCCACACTTCACACTTCACACTCCACACTTCACAGTCCACACTTCACACTTAACACTCCACACTTCACACTGCACTCTTCACGCCCCACACTTCACACTGCACCCTTCACACTCCACACTTCATCTCATCTGAGCTCTTCTCACCTTATCCCAGCTCATCTCTTCTCATCTCATCTCTTCATCTAAGCTTTCATGAATCATTTCCTGCTACTACTACTACGGAACTGGATCTCGACGCCAAAGCGACAAAAAGACGATTTTGAAGCACTTTTTAAAAGGAATTTTAAAAGGAAAATTATTAGCGCCAAAATTGAGAAAATCTGCTGACAAATCACTTTCGCAGCCTTGATGCAGCCATTCCAATACGATTTACGATCTTCAGCTGCAAAAGAGAATAGTATTACGCATGCAGCCGCTGCACCAAGCAACCTTGACGCAGCCACCACAATGCGATCTGCAGAGACTGAGTTGCAAAGCACAATAGAACTACGTGCAATGGCCTCGGAAATTGCAGCTCCAAAACCGGATCTCGACGCCAAAGCGACAAAAAGACGATTTTGAAGCACTTTTTAAAAGTAATTTTAAAAGGACAATTATTAGCGCCAAAATTGAGAAAATCTGCTGACAAATCACTTTCGCAGCCTTGAACTACAATGCGATCTGCAGAGACTGAGTTGCAAAGCACAATAGAACTACGTGCAATGGCGTAGCTCCAAAACCGGATCTCGACGCCAAAGCGAAAAAAATACGATTTTGAAGCACTTTTCAAAAGGAATTTTAAAAGGACAATTATTAGCGCCAAAATTGAGAAAATCTGCTGACAAATCACTTTCGCAGCCTTGATGCAGCCATTCCAATACGATTTACGATCTTCAGCTGCAAAAGAGAATAGTATTACGCATGCAGCCGCTGCACCAAGCAACCTTGACGCAGCCACTACAATGCGATCTGCAGAGACTGAGTTGCAAAGCACAATAGAACTACGTGCAATGGCCTCGGAAATTGCAGCTCCAAAACCGGATCTCGACGCCAAAGCGACAAAAATACGATTTTGAAGCACTTTTCAAAAGGAATTTTAAAAGAAAAATTATTAGCGCCAAAATTGAGAAAATCTCCTGACAAATGACTATCGCAGCCTGGATGCAGCCACTCCAATACAGATTCCAAAACACCCTATAACTCAGCTTGAAGCCATGACACAGATTCCAAAACACCCTATAACTACGCACACACAAGCACACCCAAAGCAGCTTGAAGCCACCGTGACACTGCGGCAAAAAAAAACGATAAACCGACCGCAGCCGCAACCGTCGCACACACGAGGTACCTTTCATCGTCGCCTGCAGCCACTTTACACGGAAAAACACAAGGTTTCGTGCTCCGGCTTCCTCCCCAAAACATAGCCCATGCAACATCATGCAGCCATTCCAATGGGATCTGCAAACCACAGATTCCAAAAACCCTATAACTACGCACACACAACCACACCCAAAGCAGCTTGAAGCCACCGTACACTGCGGCAAAAAAAACGATAAACCGACCGCAGCCGCACCCGCCGCACAGACGAGGTACCTTTCATCGTCGCCTGCAGCCACTTTACACGGAAAAACACAAGGTTTCGTGCTCCGGCTTCCTCCCCAAAACATAGCCCATGCAAGATCATGCAGCCATTCCAATGCGATCTGCAAGCACAGATTCCAAAACACCCTATAACTACGCACACACAAGCACACCAAAGCAGCTTGAAGCCACCGGACACTGCGGCAAAAAAAAACGATAAACCGACCGCAGCCGCAACCGTCGCACACACGAGGTACCTTTCATCGTCGCCTGCAGCCACTTTACACGGAAAAACACAAGGTTTCGTGCTCCGGCTTCCCCCCAAAACAGAGCCCATGCAAGATCATGCAGCCATTCCAATGCGATCTGCAAGCACAGATTCCAAAACACCCTATAACTACGCACACACAAGCACACCCAAAGCAGCTTGAAGCCACCGTGACACTGCGGGAAAAAAAAAACGATAAACCGACCGCAGCCGCACCCGTCGCACACACGAGGTACCTTTCATCGTCGCCTGCAGCCACTTTACACGGAAAAACACAAGGTTTCGTGCTCTGGCTTCCTCCCCAAAACATAGCCCATGCAACATCATGCAGCCATTCCAATGGGATCTGCAACCACAGATTCCAAAACACCCTATAACTACGCACACACAACCACACCCAAAGCAGCTTGAAGCCACCGTGACACTGCGGCAAAAAAGAAACGACCAACCGACCCCAGCCGCACCCGTCGCACACACGAGGTACCTTTCATCGCCGGCTGCAGCCACTTTACACGGAAAAACACAAGGTTTTGTGCTCCGGCTTCCTCCCCAAAACATAGCCCATGCAACATCATGCAGCCATTCCAATGCGATCTGCAACCGGAGATTCCAAAACACACTATAACTACGCACACACAAGCACACCCAAAGCAGCTTCAAGCCACCGTTACACTGCGGCAAAAAAAAAACGACCAACCGACCCCAGCCGCACCCGTCGCACACACGAGGTACCTTTCATCGCCGGCTGCAGCCACTTTACACGGAAAAACACAAGGTTTCGTGCTCCGGCTTCCTCCCCAACTCACCACTTCCCTTCCTCACCACTTCCCATCGTCACCACTTCCCATCGTCACCACCTCCCTTCGTCACCGCTTCCCTTCCTCACTACTTCCCTTCCTCACCACTTCCCATCGTCACCACTTCCCTTCGTCACCACCACTTCCCTTCGTCACCACTTCCCATCGTCACCACTTCCCTTCGTCACCACTTCCCTTCGTCACCACTCCCCTTCATCATCACTTCCCTTCTTCACCGCTTCCCTTCGTCACCACTTCCCTTCTTCACCACTTCCCTTCCTCACCACTTCCCTTCGTCACCACTCCCCTTCATCATCACTTCCTCAAGGTCAATTTCATAGCTTCTTATTCTTTTGTTATGTGTTGGTACATTATGTATTGTTATATTATGTATTGTTATATGATCTACCACCCTTCCTCAAGGTCAATTTCATTGCTTCTTATTGGTTTGTGATGTATTGGTACATTATGTATTGTTACAGGATCTACCACCCTTCATCATAGTCAATTGCACCAAGGAAAAAGTTATTCGTAACTCGGAAATTGCTTCCCAACTTCCTTTGATAATATAACCAATATAAAATATTACCAATATAGTAGCTATCATCTATAGTCATACCAGTTGGGTTTCGGAGCCATAATATTATGTATAGTTACTATGAAATTATGAACTCTAAATATAGCTTCGAGAGTTTTTTTTTGCCCATGTGTGGGGATGGTCATCGAACCACTAGTAGTGAGTTACTCTCTGGTAAACGTTTACATAACTACGGACAATTACAACTTTTAATAGGTAAATCAAATATAAATGGCCGTTTTCAATAGCTATGTTAAATTACCAGAGGGTAGCTACTATGAAATTATGAGCTATAATTATAACTTTAAATCTTATGACTGAGCAAAAAAAGTGTTTTGACCATCAAGACTAGGATTACATTGGATTACCATCCCTCAAACATAGACGCTGTCATGAATTGGTGATTGGAAGATTGCCATCGATGACGATTTTTCATCGGTGGCAATGAGTGGCCTCTGGTAAACATACCAAATGCTATGACTCTTATAGCTATAGGTAAATCAACGAACTAAATGACAATTTTCACTAGCTATCTGAAATTATTAGAGGGTACTGGAGGGTGACTGGCATTAACATTTACCTTTACAATCTTGGGGATTGTTGTTAATGGGCCTTTAACAGGGATCAACAGATGTATTATTATCTAGTCACATGCTTATTATAGCAATTTTGAGGGTATCATGTCAACCCTGGATTTTGCAAAGCTGCACTGGACTATTTGGGAGGGTCACCAATTTTAGTCGAATCTATCACTATGTTTGGGGTAACTGACCTATTAAGCAACAGAGTTGACCTTAATCCGGGGTTGACACTTACAGGAAAACTTTGGATGGCTAGTTTGATTGCTAAAGTTGCTAAATATATACGTTCATCTTTTGCCACTTTGATGGCCTTACATATGTTTATATGATTTGACGTTTTTGGCAGGAGATCCAAGATTAGCTATGGTTGATGGGACATCAATTAAGTGATACCCAGGTCTGAGAATTCTGAATCTGCGCAGAATGTTGTGATGTTTTCCAATCTTCAAGCCGATTCCCAACTCAGTTCACAGAACCAGAGCCACTTTGAGTGGGGATTGAAGGGATTATTTCTATGTGATGGTTGCAAGTTCAAGGTACCATCTGGGTATGAGTTAAACTCTGGTACCGGACCCCTGCCTTTTCAATTAGAGAGGCAGGTGAGCAGTATGCATAAGCATCTATTGGTTGATGATTGTACTATATACCCAATATACTGGAGATTAATAGTGTCAAATAGTATCGGATTAAATCCAAAAATTGTACCATGGAAATCCCTATGAATATAATGAAATGATTCATAGGGTTTTGAACACTGCTCAGGTCTTCATGCATGTTCACCTTACATAAATTTTGTTTGGGTATTGACCCATATGTAACATCCAGGAATGTCCATTGATGGATTGTTTTTTCGGCGAAAATACCATAGATGTCCATCGTTAGCTTAGACTACCAGGGGGAAATCATTAAAACCCATGGGAATGTTTGAAGAAAGGACATATACCCTCAGGTAATTTGACATACCCATGGAAACGTATTCATTTATAGATGGTTTACAGATGATTTCCGTGGCTATGTTGCCAGAGGGTATGTTTTGGGGTGATATTTCGGCCGGTAAATTGATCTTCCAGACTCGCTGGGAGTCTGCATTCAAGTTAGATGAATGTCTGGGAAACTTTTCAATCTTTGTTCATGCCTAAAATGGAAAGAAACTAAGACTAAGATAATTTTTGCATTGAACATTCCTGGTTGGTGCTTTGGAACATGAATTTTATGACTTTCCATATGTTGGGAATGTCATAATCCCAACTGACTTTCATATTTTTCCGAGGGGTAGGTCAACCACCAACCAGCTGTGGTTTATAGGTGATATATCTATAATTCTATAGTTAATGGTTGGTGGTTGAATTAATATTTTCAGGGGTTGAAACCACCAAGCAGTTGCGGACATCAACCCCGTCGCGCCGTGTTTCGATTGTGTTTCCCAGCGATTGCCAGGTGAAAATGAGCAGGATCCCAGCGACGAAAAAAGGATGTCATGGGATATGATTGGGGAAGGGGATTTACCAGTTATAAGTACTAACAAAACCCCATTTATGGAAGGTATAATCCCATAGAAATCACCAGTTATAACCATTTATAATTGGTAGTTCCGGCCATAACTGTGGGGTAAACTAACAAGAAGATGTGGAAATCAATGGCTTTTCCTATAGGAACATGATCTACAAATGGCAGGTTCTCCACATCTATGTTGGTATACCATAGGGCATATCTTATCCTGGCTGATTAACACCAACCCTGGTTGGCATAGTTGATACAGTAGATGTTTATATGAACATATCAGAAAATGATGGAATGTCAATGAAACTATCATATAATGAGACACACATATATATGTATATATATATATATGTACATACTGATTGGTGGTTTCAAACATTTTTTATTTCCATTTCATGTATGGGATGTCATCCCAACCCCATTGACGAACTCCATCATTTTTCAAGATGGTTATTGCACCACCAACCAGCATGAAATGCATAAAATGAAGGTTTGTGTCTCTGGAGATGAGGGATGATAAATCACCATTTTGTCGGGACGGTGTGCTTTGGGATGTTTATGGGGACTTAATACGGGAATTTATCACCAGTTTTTTGGGATTCAGAGGAAAGAAAAATCTGGAGGGTGCACTGGGTGGAACCTGATGTAGCAACAAAACCAGTGGGTCATGAACAAAGTTCACATGTTTCATCATGTTTCATGCCATTTTTTTGAGGGCCAAGGTCGCCAAGGCCTAGGGTGAACCGGGTGAACCTATTTCTGATTGCCAATTTCTGGACAAGTTCAGTGGGAGACATGGTGATTTTTTCCCCTTTTTGGGATGGCATCGTTCTGAATTTCTCTAAAAAGACACAGGTCCACACATCCATCAATGCATTGGTTTAAGGGAAAAATTTACCCGGACACCTCCATATATTTCATGGGAAAATCTATGGTGTCCGGTTAAGATTTTCCCTCAAACCAATCCATGGAATCCATGTTCCAAAAAATGACCAACGCTAAGGGCCAGCAGAATCTTTTCAGTTCGGCTTCTTCAAAGGCAAGCTTCTGGCAAGATGGATAATGATTTAAGATGTTTTTCTCCTGCTATTTTAGATGGTTGGATCCTCAACATTGTTTGTTAACATGTTATGATATTCTTGGTATTATATTATTACCCTCTGGTAATTTGTTACAGTTTGCTATTGAACATGGCCATTTTTTCGTGAGTTTTCCCATTGAACATTGTGATTTTCCATAGTTATGTTAGTTTACCAGAGGGTAGCTTAATTCAGCACTTATGTTTTAAGATGCTGATCATGTGCTTCATCCCATTATGAACCGTTCATGCTAAATTCATGTTGTTTAATATCTTGTTTTACAAACGATGGCACTTTGAACCGTTTGGTCAAAATCATTATTTTGAGTGTCAAATCAACAGGGTTTGATATATGCATACTATATATAATGTGTGTATATCTATGTCGTGTATGTATATATATATATATATGCACATATGTATATATATATATATGCACGTATGTATGTATATATATATATACGTATATATATATATATGTATGGATATATATATATGTATATATATATATATGTATATATATATACGTATGTATATACATATATACATGCATTTGCTGTTTGAATTCTGAATTTTGCTGGTTACATCCTAATGATATTTTTTATTCAATCAACATGGTGAAAATTCAATATTGATGGCTACACAGTGACCTGTGCTCCAGTAACAAACTGGAGCTTGTCTTGTGCTCAGGAAACTTGGATGGTGCTGATGGATTTTCGAAAGGATTTCTCTGAACGAGGAGTATGCCCCCTGCCAAGTCCCAAGAGTGTTAGTCTAACAGTAGGGGGCACACCCCTCGACTAGCAGGGATGAATATTATAAACAACTGCCAAGTTAGTCTAACAGGGAGTCTAAGAGTGTTAGTTCTGCAGTTAGTCTAACGGTGACAATGAATATTCTAACTGCAACAACTGGAGTAGCCTAATTTCAGACAAACCCAAATACGTTTCTCTCGGAGAACTCCGACAGAACCGGAAAAAAATGGGGCTTCAAGTGAAATAGTATACAAGTTGGTGTAACGCATATACTATATTTGCTATATTAGGAAAGTACTATCTCGTTGGTGTAACGCCTCAAGTATTGGTCAGCCTCAGCCAAGTTGGCCTGGAGCCAGCAGCAAACCTGTCTTGCACACGCTTCGCAGCCCTGGCGAAACTACCCTCCGGTAAACTAACATAGCTAACATTCCTGTTAAAAATGGTGGTTTTCCCATTAACAATTGTGATTTTCCTATTAAAAATTGTGATTTTCCCATTAAAAATGGTGATTTTCCCATTAAACATGGTGATTTTCCATAGCTATGTTGAATTACCGGAGAGTAACCATAGGTCTGTCGAGCAACGACCAAAAGCTGGAGTTGAAAAATGATTCGCTTCGGCTGGTACTTCGGTTTCAAGGATAGACAGTTATCTGGTTGGTGGTTTGGAACATGAATTTTATTTTTCCATTCAGTTGGGAATGTCATCATCCCAACTGACTTTCACTCCATCATTTTTCACAGGGGTAGGTGGCTCAACGACCAACCAGTTATGGCCGGAAATACCAATGAATTACCCCCTGGTAAATTAACAGTTGGACCCTGAAAATCACCAAATTTCAATGGAAACTAGTCTTCCAACCCCTATCTGCCAGGGTCTATGTTAATTTACCAGAGGGTAAATGGGGAAATAACTAGTTGTATATCTATGGGATTATGGGATTATACATTCCATCGGGTTTTGTCAGTACGGCCATAACTGGTATGACTCGGGCCATGAAGTATGTACAAGACACCTCCCAGCTGATGTTTGTGACTTGAGTAGTGGTTGGCAAACGTTGTTGGTTGATGATTTTGTTTGGGGGGTTATATCATCTTATACTATGGTTTACTATGTTATACTATGTTTTACTATGTTATGCTATGTTATACTATGTTATACAATGGTTTACTATGTTATACTATGTTATGTTATGTTATGCTATGTTATACCGTTTTAATACTATGTAATGCTTACTTTGTTATAATGTGTTATACCGTGTTAATACTATGTTATACTTACTATGTTATACTATGTTATACTACTTAATATGGGGGATTATCACAATGCACTGACCCCTATCAACCAAGCGGTACTTCATGAACTGACGCTGGAAAATTGAAGGAGTTGGGATCTGGAATCAATGGGTCTAGCCCAGTAGCCACAAGCAAGCATTAGCTCCATCGCAGATTTCAGCAATTTTGGAGGGAGCAGCCCAAGTTTTCAACAACCGAGATAACCCCTTAAATTTCCCCAAATCATCCCAGACATTAGATTGTTTCAGTATTTTTCTAGGCATGGTAACTTGGGGATCTCCCGGTGTTAGGAAAGCCCCAAATGACGGCATAGACCCGGGTGATCTCTGGTTGTTTGGAAAACCTCCATTCCTCATGGTTTATCGACCTGCCATAATTTGCTGCCATGGCCATGAGTACCAGCAAATGGTAAGCGACGTGTTTCCAGACACCGGTGAGAGATCTTGATTTGAAAATTGGGCGCCAAAAGTAGACCTTACCCTCTGGTAAACTAACGGTTTACTATGGAAAATCACAATTTTTAATGGGAAAATCCACTATAGATGGCAATTTTCAATAGCTATGTTAGTTTACCAGAGGGTACATCAGGTGCATACCTCTCCAATTTGGTCCTTTTTAGAGTATGAAGCCCGGGCGGAAAATCACAAAATATTCGGACCTTTTTTTCGATAAATCATGGTTCAGTTGGTTGATCTACTTCGATGTGAAATTTGAAGAACTTAAATGATTTCAAGAAACCATCAACATGCATTTATACATTTTTTGAAATGACATCTAATCACCATGAAATCCTCATGAAAAGGCCGATCTCACGTCATTTTCTCGCCCCAAAAGGTCGCCAAAACGTCCCACTTTCGGCTTGAGCGAAACGACTCCGCCTCTCGTCGCTGGTCTCATTGGAGACCTACGCAATCCTACGCACCCACGATGATGCGACGACTGCAAGCGGCGGAGGAGGTGTCCGGCGACATAATGAGGATACAATGGATTAATAAAAGGGGGTAATCATTATTTTTGTTAAGTATGATTATTATTGTTCATCATTACTATCGTTTTTTTCAAAATAGAATAGAATCATGACATAATGTGAGTTAACATGAGTTAACCATTATAACTGTCCCATTTTTTCCCCACCTGCCAGGTGAGGGTTGTTAGATTTTATGTCAGTTGCCTCCTCCTCCTGCTCCTCCTGCTCCTCCTCCTCCTCCTGCTCCTCCTCCTCCTCGTCGTCCTCCTCCTCGTCGTCCTCCTCGTCCTCCTCGTCCAACTGCGACCCGCGATCCACAGTGTTCTCTGTCGGACCTCAACCACGACCATCCATGCTCAGTGTTCGCTGCCGGACCTCAACCACGACCATCCACGTCAGTGTGCCCTGCCGGACCTCAACCACGACCATCCCCGCCCAATGTTCCCTGCCGGACCTCAACCACGACCATCCATCGCCCAGTGTTCCCTGCCGGACCTCAACCACGACCATCCACGCCCAGTGTTCCCTGCCGGACCTCAACCGCGAGTATCCACGCCAAGTGTTCCCTGCCGGACCTCATGTAGGAAGATATGGGACAAAGTATGCGCAGAAGAAAGTTAGAAAGAATGTGCACCGCTGGACCTCAACGGCCAGATAGAATGCCAGAAGATATGCCAGGTGGAATGTCAGATAGAATGCCAGAAGATATGCCAGATAAAATGCCATGAGATATGCCAGATAGAATGCCTGAAGGTATGCCAGAAGATATGCCAGATGGTATGCCAGATAAAGTGCCAGAATGTTTGCCAGATAGAATGCCAGAACATTTGCCAGATAGAATGCCAGATAGGATGTCAGAAGATATGCCAGAACATATGCCAGGTAGAATGCCAGATAGAATGCCAGAAGGTATGCCAGATAAAATATCAGATAGAATGCCAGAAGGTATGCCAGAATGTTTGCCAAATAGAATGCCAGAAGATTTGCCAGATAGGATGGCAGAAGATATGCCAGAACATATGCCAGAAGATATGCCA